TTGGCAGTGGTTGAGGCTTGGTTATGTGTGGCTTGACTGTGCGTGCAGTGGTGGTAGATACATGAGTTCAGATCCTGATGAATACCTACTTGTAATTGGTTTAGATTCAATTTAAACCTAACTTTATTTACAATTTTTTAAGTTTTCATGACGCATTAGGTACATTTACTGACTACAGATCCCGAGATCTGTAAATCTGAATTTTAGGCGGTATACAGGGTGAGTCCGAACTCACCCTGTATACCGCCTAAAATTCCGTATATCTTTTTGCACTCCACGTTAGTGTGCGTGCGGCAGCAGATTTATGGCGGGATATTTCATCGGCCATGATGCGACCTCCGGCCTTCGGCTACGCGGGATAGCGGCTATCTTTTAATTTTTACCCGACACTATCGATCCAGTCTTTTAACGTGTATTTGTAAAGGCGAAACGTATAATGCACCTAGAGGTTAGGTTAGGTTAGGTTCCAGAATCCAGTTTTGCCGGATAAATTAATATGTGATCCCGCAAAACTAGACGTGTGAGCACACATGAGTGTTTGAAATTCAAATTACAAATTCTAACGGATCGGTTTTTTGCGGAACACTGCAGACGGAATGTTCGTGTGAACGTTAATTAAAACACGCATACCTACTACTAAAGGTAATCCTACAAAAACAGGCTTTATTCGTAGGAAAAACCCTTAGTGGAAACAACCATTCATCAATATGTCATACAATACAATTCTATCAAGTTTTATTAAAACTTGAAATTTATTTTGCCTCAGGTGGAAATTGAATCCCCGATTGTTTAAACTCTATAGAAATGATGTCAAGAATATTTCAAGAATACTTAATACTTTCTTTCAAATCAGTAAAATTATTAAGAAATCTGAGAAGAAACTGTCCAACAATAATTAAATTCGTAACCCAAGTATTCGTCAAGTAATTCAATCTTTCAGGCATTTTGTTAGCCAAATCTGTTTATTTCGACAAAGTAACTTACTGTATTTATAATAAAGAATATAATTGAATGCGACGGAATGTAACAAAAGCTTTACTTCGCGAAACACGGCTTAGTGTATCCCACTTACAAATGCTAAGTCTTCCCCTTCCTTCTGAATGCTTAATACGAACTCTACGTAGCGCCGTGATCGCACCGAGAGCATTCTCTCCTTCGACGAATGTTCAAGCATTCCTATTTACGTTTAGGCGCGATTGGTCCAATTCGCTTTTTTCTGCAATAGTAGTAAAAGTTGAAAGAAAAGAAAGAAAGAAAGAAAATATTTTATTTGGCCCAACATATTAAATTATTACAGTATACAGTTTACAATACTTGCACATTTGTGGACCAAAATGGCATCCGCTCAGCATTGTGTCCTGCTCTAATGTAGACCCAGAACAGGACGCTGTTATTCTGCGGAGGCCACTTTTTTAAAAGAGCGTCACATTGGACGCCATAAACATAATAGTTGAATAACCTCCTTATATCTTTCATTTTGTATATCATTTTATTTTGAACCAATTACAAATTGGACCAATAGCGAATTGGCCCAATAGCGAATTGGACCAATCGAGAATTGGTATAATCGCGAATTTGTGAATTTTTCATGATTGGACCAATTGCCAATTGGACCAATCGCGCCTAAACGTCCTATTTATATGATGTATTAAAACTACACCTGCCTCCTTAATTGCTCCACTAAATCGGGGCTTGATAAATCGGGTGTTGATCCAGGGCATGGTCAGTCTCTAACAGTGCATTCATCCTAATAGGCGCTCTAGACGCTCCATTGTTACCAGTTGTGAAACCAGAAAAAGGTGCTGCATGTTATCTGCCAGCATTCCTGTGGCCATATTTTAGAGACCTTTGGGAATAAGCCAATTTTTTATACCTGTATAGATCGTTTCATCCACGAAGACGCGCCCCACCATTCTTCCGCTAAAGTTTGAGTGTTATCGGTACACGCTAAATTGTCCATGAGTGCACACGCACTCTACAATAATGACGCTCGGATTGCTCGGATCAAACTCCCCGCACCCCGCGCTTCCCTCGACCAAAAATTGGTGGGGCGCGTCTTCGTGGATGAAACGATCTATACTCGTATTTCGTTTCTCCCGGTGGGCTCGCACCTAAAGCATAAACATGCAAATTAGCTGGCTGATGAATTTTAAACATTGCTCAACAACCGGTATCGGTTATAATTTAATTGGTTATTTGAAAACTTTTCCAATCTGCATCAGGAATGGAGTCTCCGTCGCTATGGCGACTTCGTTCCATGGGCTTGATGGTGGGGCTATTAGGGACCAATGCAAAAGGTTTACAACTCTTATTAGGCAATTTCAATAAACACTGAAACACGTAATAATTAAATTAATTTAACATTCTTACTGGAAGAATTTGTGTTACACGTTTTATCTTGATGTACATAGTGAGACATTATCTGAATAAGCTTCGCAGAAATGGAAATAATTATCGATAATGGATGTAAGCACCAGGAAATGGAGTTATCGCCCGATAATTTAAAGCACATATCAAAAGCACCTTAATGAAAACCGGCCAAGTGCGAGTCGGGCTCGCGCACAAAGGGTTCCGTAGCAGCAAATATAACCAAAATTACAGTTAAATCAACCTATCTCAAAAACTATAAGAGATACTTTGATCAAACCAAAAATCGTTGAAAGAGTTAATTAGCATGCATCACCTCTATTTTTTTTAGAATTTTATACCCCGTAGTTATAAAAATAGAGGGGGGGGGACATACTTTTTACGACTTTGAGAGCTGATATCTCAAAAACCGTTCACTTTAAGAAAAATGTTTTTTAGAAAACTTTATATCATTTTAAAAGACCTTTCCATTGATACCCCACACGGGTATGTACATCGAAAAAAAAGACAGACGGACAGACGGACAGACGGACAGACGGACATGACGAAACTATAAGGGTTCCGTTTTTGCCATTTTGGCTACGGAACCCTAAAAAAGGGCTACTATAAAGTTGATGATTATATAAAGGATAAAAATGTTTGGAATGTTTAACTACCTAGCTCGCATCAATACTTATGACTATAATTTGTATATTTTAAAGACTGTAAAATCTTGAAAAGAAGGCTGACAATAGTGACTGAGTTTCTTGCGCTGCTTCTTCTCAGCACTGGCCCATTTATTGTCCCGAAGCAGTGGTAGGGTTAATATTGGGACGTGTAAAAGCGCTTTTTTAAAGCCTATTTGCAAAAATAAATGAATTTTATGAATTTTATGAATTTTAATTTTTTTAGCTATAGATCACTCCATGACCATATGGGACGTCCACCCACAAGGTGGACTGACGACCTAGTAAAGATAGAGAAGGCACTGGATGCAGACCGCAAACAACCAACCGTGGTGTCAGTGCATGTCCTGTGGCTGAAATGATGTTTTTTTTTATCCACAACGAGGAAGCTCTTGGCCTGTATCTCACCTGATGGTAAGTGATGATCAGGCCGAAAGTGGAAGCGAGCTTCACTCTGAATCCTCAACCACGGAGGAACTGGCTATCTTACCTCTAAGTGACGGAACACAACATGGTGATGATGAACTGGATCTACGTAGATCTAGCCCTACAATATGGGAACATTCTGAGAATATTACTGGAATTACTTCTCGGAGATTGTTCGCTAAAACATAGTCATGTATTCGCGAAGCGGTGTTTGAAAAAATTACCCTTCTGTTTTTACCGCCATTGTGTTTTGGGTGGAGGAGGAAAGGCACTGGGTGTATAAAAATTGTAATTCAGTTAACTGAAGCATGAAGAAGGAGTGAATGAAACTGACAAAATGATAAAAATTGTCGAGGCTGCGTGAAATTATGACTGTCACTCGACCTAGCACAATTTTACATTAAATTTTTGATACTTGGACTGGGTTGCACCATCTTACTTTGACTTTGACAAACGTCAAACTCCATACAAAAACACCGACCATCGTTATACTAGTTACGGTCAAAGTTAGGTGGCGCAGCTCAGCCTTAGTAACATCCGTCACAAAATATGATCGCTTTTAAGGAATGATCATGATAACGAACTTAAAAAAATAGGATTGCCTTCAAACTTTCATAATTGTTTCACCTGACCCCTTTAAGACTCATGCTACTAAGATAATGTACCCTACCCCATACTTTTCGTAGATTTAATTTTTCGCGGTTTAAGCTTGAAAAGTTTACATTAACAGCCTAACAGGCAGGTAACGAGGTACTTATTACCAACATTGGAATATATTTAGAAAATTGCAACTACGTATTGGCTCGGACTGTACAAGAAATGTCTTACTCCAATATCATGTCCACAAAAACTAGATTAAATATGGCTTACATAGCGGATCTCATCAAAAGTAGATTGGTCATTACAAGGAGATTACTAACGTCTCATGATTAATGTGTTTACTTTGCATTAAATATGATTGGTTTTGTGTAGGTATTAGACTTACAAAGTTAATGTACTTCATAATATTACCTTCTGTAATTGAGTTGTAATAGCAAATTGGCAAGAATTTTAATATCTTCATAACCTTACTGGAAGTTTAAGTAGTATCTTTAAAAAAAGATTGTAAAAAGTACACACATAAAATACGATGAATTGTGTGAAATCCACTTCACAAGACATTCTCCGTTTAACTCCATTCTCCTCCGGCCAGTCAAAGAAAGTCTTTACTAATAGACAAACTTTAATTCTATTACATATTCAACCGGTTAACTGTAATTTCAGCTAGATAAATTAGTAAAATTTGAAAAAGCGGTTTTCTTGCATGGGAATCAAATTCACAACCTTTCGTTTGCCAGACGACTACCTCTCACCCTCTCGTAATGTGCCTGTATCCCAATGGGATATGAGTATACGAATGGGTATAAATATGTATGTATGGGATATCCCACACATATTTAGAAATGGTGTAACGAGACAGGGACTAAAAAGCGACGTAACTATGCATTAATGAAATTAAACGTAACCTACGAGTAAATCTAAGCTCCACGTCTCTTGTTACAGAGCCTGGAAGACAGAGAAAAAAGGCACTCGTTTCACAAGGAGCAGCTGGCTCGGGAACACCGGTACCTCAGACGGCGGCTCGCGCAACTGCACGCGGCGCCGTGCGAGTTGAATGCGCGCGCGCTGGCCGACGCGCTGCCGCACGCGCATAGCACGCGTGCGGACTCGCTGTCCTCGCTGGAGTCGTCGTCGGGAGTGTCCACAGCGGAGCGGTCGCCGTCGTCAGTCTCGGAAAGTGGTGAGTGGATTTTTTTTTATATTAACGCCCGTATTCACAAACATTACTATGAAAGTGTTCGTTTCGTTTCGTTAGTTTCAGCCAAATGACGTCCACTGCTGGACAAAGGCCTCCCCCAAGGTTTTCCACAATGAACGGTCCTGCGCTGCCCGCATCCATGAAAGTGTGCGTGATCGCAAAGGGTCAGATACGAACCAATCACAGAACTCTATTCAACGCTGTGCGTTCAATTTTCTGCTTCACTTAAGCAAGCATCGTTTGTGAATACGGGTGTTAATGTCCTATGTCCCCTAGATGGGGCAGAGGGCGTCCACAACAGTCCTTCATCGCGTTCGGTCTGTAGCTTTGATTGTGATCAGTGGTCAAGCCAAGATCAAGGAAAACGTCCTGCGGTGGGTGAGGTCGAAAGCTCAGAAAAATCCTAACAAGGCCAGGTTTTTCCCGGGACTTCGCTTGCGTTTAACGGACTCCTGTTTCATCTCTTTTGGGGTGAATTTTGGGAAATCCTTTAAAAACGGATCCGTCGTAATAGGTATTAATACAACCTGGTTCAAATTGAAGCAGCAACCTACAATAAGTAAGTTAAGTTGAACTTTTGATTCTGTGAACATGTGACTTAATCACAGTAAAAATTCTATATTGCGTTTTGATAGCATACAAAAAGTATTTTAACCGTCATGTGGCGTGGCCCAATTAGGTACCGGTTTCAGGTTATCCAAAAATCATCGCGAAATGTAAAACCCAAGTAGCCTAGCGTGGCGTCCTTGCAAAAAGTGGGATCACGCGAGCTGTCATTCACATTTTATAGCCCTACAAAATCTGACATTAACGCCCTTCTATTATTATCGTTATTACATTAGCGGGAAACAAAGGAACGAGATTGCGTTACCACAAAACGCGGATTCGATTAAATATGGGTCGGTGGTCCACTCTGAAAATCATTTATTTTTACATGCCTCACATCTATCACTCTCGCTCCTGCCAAGATCTTAGTAAGAGTGAAAGAGATGGATACGGTCGACACTGAAATCGCTAGCCAGAGTTGGGTCCTAGCTTCCAGTTTGACGTGCCGATTTCTCAACGCTACTCAATTTGGGTCTCTATGGACATAGGAGAGTGATCGAATCGGTACCCGAATCTTGGTAGTGCGTAGGCATATAACGTGATGCGTACAGTAGGTAGACCTGCTTGGTTAAATCTTTATGTACCGTCCTAATTATAGCCTGACCAGGAACATAAAAACCCTCGCCATGTTGCGGAAAACTAATGGTACTAATTTCTTTTAATGGCAACAGTAACTGAAAACTTCATTTACATGTCACCTTGCATGTCAGTCTATTGTTGTCAAAGTGTAAACAAACTTTATTTTAAATGTTTGCAATTGATTTTGTGAATTAAATTGCTAAAATATATTTATAGTCGTGAAAGAAAAGTGGTTCACGATGTGTTAATGTATTTGTCGAAGAGAAATATTAAGGGTTCGGACAATATTTTCATTGAATAATGTTTCCGACAAAGGTTGTCAAATTGACTGACATGTTTATCGTATAGTACAGTCCACTATGAAAATTAGCTGTAGTCTGTTTCAACTACCTATTTTAAAGTTTTTTGTCACTTTCTAAGTTTTGAATTTTATGGAATTGGAAAAGAAGTACCGAGTTTGAAGCGTTCATGAGCAGACATTGCAGTTGAATATTCAAGTTCTGAATTTGATTATTGATGAATAATAAAATAAATCCTACTAGCTCCATTGCTGGTGTCATTTAATTTATTTAAACCAGGTTACCTTTAATAATATTTTTCGTTAATTTATGAAAATATCAAATTAGCCCGTAATCCTGAATCCTGATACCTACTTAAAAGCCTATTAATTTAACACATGTACGACTGTACTCAGTGTTGCACTATCAAATGCAATTGAAGCGCCTCTATGCCAGGGTTTTTATGTTCCTGGTCAGGCTATAATTTCCTTAGAGTTTATTTTATCATGACCATAGAGATCTAGAAAGATGCCAACTCATGCACTGAGTTCGAAACCCAGTCAATTGCATGGCACATTGCTGTCGCGAGCAATGTGTTCTGTTTTTGGGCATATTGCTACGACGCTGGCCACGCCCCGTTTTCACATCTCTCTTTAGTTTTTGTGATCTGTGATCATAACTGATCGAGCTACACATTGAAAAATAGTTTTAATCATTTAAATGGACAACAAGAAGCAGTATTATTTCTTAGCATATTTCGGTCTTCGAATGAAGCATCGACAGCAAGTCTATTAGATGTATAAACAAGAGATAACAAAATAAATTGGTGATCTAAAATGTCATAGGTATTCGTACTTACAAAATATTTTATCAAATAAGTAAGCGAACAACAAAGAATATAAAGTTACTAAGCAAATCAGCCAATTCCAGTATCCTTCTCAATTTATAAAAAACATCTTAGCCCAACTACTTTATGAGTTCGGGAATTTGTGTCATAATACCGTCTAAGGTAATACGAAACGGGCCTCTATTTCGCTCCGCAGGGGAAGGCCCAGCCTACATTGTTACCTTTTATTTATGCATTAACTTTTGCAATTTAACTGTCACCCGCACACACAGCGGACGGACGTAATTCGTCCATTGTGGGGCAGGGGAAGTTTTTCCTTGGTGGGCATTGTGCCCGACGGATTGATATGGAAAGCAAGGTTTTATGGCCCGAATTAATAGTGGCTTAATAGTAAAGGGCATAGTAGGCTCATGCCCGTTTTCACCATCAATCCCTAATTCATAAGTGACTCCTAAGGTAACAAATAACAGGAATTTTGTTTTCATAGGGGTCACTTCAAAATTAGGGATTGACGATGAAAACGGGCATCATATTCCTATTTTTAAGCCAACCTATTTTCTACCGAAATATTGAGGGCCTCATCCGCCTCATAGTTACTCTAGCTAGTATCTAGAAAGCTAGGTAGAGCATAAAGAGGCTATAAAAGCTATGTCATGTGACAATATTCAACTATTAGCTCTAAATATCAAGCTAGACTTTCGTATAGTTAAGGTAGCATTCGCCAATCTTCCGATTACCGTGATGTTACATAAGAATTAGCAATTTAGCATTATTAACAATTTGCGTGGTTGAGGATTCCGGGTGAAGCTCGCTTCCATTTTCGGCCATAATCGTCTCGTGCCATCAGGTGAGATACAGGCCAAGAGCTTCCTCGTTGTGGATAAAAAAACTCGTAATTGAAATAAATTCAATTATCTCACCAGTTATTTACATAATCAATTGAGCTGGGACCACCGCTAGTCTTGTATTAATTTATCGATTTCAATAAATTTTACTTAATTCAGACCTGCTGATCCAGCCAAAGCCTTTGACTGACTCTATCTCCACAACAAATGCGCCTACCCAATCCAACCCAACTGTGGTTTTATCGAGCGAATAAATAGTAGTTGGGGCGATTAACCGTGTCATTAGGTGGGTTTATTCCGCATATAATTCGGCGATGTTTATGATGACCTATCGAGCCTGTAGCCAGTTTGCCGGGATGGGGGCAGTAAAAATAAATATTTGCATTCGAATGTTTAGCTTTAGGATAAGCGAGGGTTCCCGCACTTCCCGCGACTGTCACGCTGAGAAGGCTGTGATCGGAACATTTATATTTAGGGTTACCATGTGCGTGGGCGAAAGTCCTGAAAGCCGGACAAAAACAGGAGAAATTGTGGATAAAGATTTAAATAAGAAATCCCAGCGTTGGTTAGGTAAAGGCAAGAGCACATATAGACCTCAGATACCGAATTGTTAAGAATGATATGCCTGTATTTTTAACAGTGATACCGATCCAATTAAAAATAAATGAGCTAGTATTTGAATACATCCATTTTTTGTATGGATGGTCCTATGATGGTCCCAGGTACATACACCTTTACCAAAAATAAATTTTCTTCCTGTCACAAGTTAAACAACTGATCGGATATGGAGACATGTTTCTTGTTAATATAGGTTGTTGTATTTGAACACTTAGACATTCATTTTCACGATCCTTTCAGATTTCAGACATTCTTTTTAACTTGAAGGTGCTTAATGTAGAAAAAAAATACCGGACAAAAACCTAACAATCCGGACGCGTCCGCCCAAACCCGGACGCATGGCAACCTCTCCCGTGCGTCCGTAACGCCGTGATCGGATCATTTACATGTACATACTTTTAACAGGGCCAGCTTTCTCTTTGTTGCTGCACTGGGGTATGCAAATTTAGTGTTATGGCCGATATAATAACTTTTTATATGGAGTGACGAGGTTTTTTCATAGACTTGGAAGGCGGTTCATGTTTTGGAAGTGTTTTCTCTTGTTGGTCGGCTATAACGGTTTTCGCGTAGGTAAATTGAAATTTTGATGGTGTATTTCGTAAAATCTTTTCGTTCGGTAAATAAAGTTTCCATTAAATTATCCATAGTAATATACATATATTTTTTTAAATATGCTTATAGTAATGTCGTAACTTTTTACGATAGCGTAACGTAATGATGAAAAGTATTGATTTAACTACAATTACATACAGACAATCTCAAAAAACACTGTCTTCGCTCTGGGTTCTCTGAAAGAAATATTTTCTTAGCGATGAGACCGTAAATTTTGAGTAAAGAGTAACTTATAAAATAATCTATTATCTCCAACTAAAGTTGAAAAAAATTGTTTCATTAAAGTGATCATTATGAATGTCACAACTCTATCCAAACACAGTACTATCCTGAAATAATAACTGGCAAAAGCCAGTCAAACAGACCTCAAATGATACATTAATGGCATTTGCCAGTCCATTACAATGGCCACCGCCGGGGCGCACGTAAGCGATGGCCGATGCTCTTTTCGCGCCGGTTTAGGTATTGATCAGCTTATGTGCATAGATTGAATCAATTAATGCACCATCAGTTCATGCCGGTAGGGCTGCCTCGATTATCATGAATAGGCGATTGTGTATTCCAAACTTTATTGCGCGGAGAAAACAAGACATACGA